CACCAACTTTGTGCTTGTGTACTTCTGAGAGTTTTCCATTAAAGTTTACATTTTTGGTGTTATATTCTTCAAAATTTCTCTATCATTTTGGATAATAAAATTATTTAAAAAGTGGAATGCTGACAAACTTTTTAATTTTAGGGGTCATGATAGTGAAAGGGTTAAGTACTTGGCAACTAGAATTTAAATGGATAATTATACTGACTTCAGCTTAATCATATGCATATATTATCACCTATGCACTTTACTATTACCAATATAATGTATAATAAAATTCTAGCTAAACTAATTACAGTACCCATCATGCTATTGTATTTTTTTATAGTCAGATAGATTAGTGGTAAGCTAATACAATAGATTGGAGTTGCACAGTTGTTGAAATTGCAAAACTGCCATTATACAACAAGTACCACTCAGCTATGAGAGATAAAGTGAAAAATAGAACTGATAAAGGGATAAAAAGCTGGGTGATGCATTGAGGTATTTGAGAGACAAGGAACTGAATCCATGAAGGGAAAAAGGGAAATGCACCAGAGTATAGCAATGCTATTGTTGTAGTCTGGGAATGAAGCATGGATTTCAAATGTTGCAGTGTGGAGGAGGCTGGAGGCACTATAGATGTGTTTGAGGGCAATGTGTGGTGTGAAGATTATGCAGAGAATTCTGAGTTTGGAGATTTGGGGGAGGTGTGGAGTTACCAAAAATATTAGAGGGCCAAGAAGGGGTTGTTGAGGTGGTTTGGACATTTAGAAAGGAAGGAGAAAAACAGAATGACTAGGAGGGCATATAAATTTGAGGTGTAGGGAAGAAGGGGTAGGGATCTTCCTAGAAAAGGTTGGAGGGGGCTTGGACAACCAGCAAGCTTGTGTGAGGCAAGTGGTTTTTATGATCTAATGTGTTGTTTTAAATGAGCAAGGTAACAATTATGTAGGGATTCAGGGAAATTGGTTAGCCAGACTTGAATGTTTGACATGGAAATTACAGTGCCTACACTCTGAAGGAGGGGTGGGGATGTTGCAGTTGGGAGGGTCATGTGAGCTGAAATGTCAGTGTGATACTGACAAAGACACTGAGTGAATGAGTGACAGTGGATTTCACGGTCACTCATTCATCTTTGTCAAGTAACCCTACCTCGGTGAGAGATGAAAGTAGTGTTAAAAAAGAACAACAATGTTTACAACAAATATTTAACACTTGCCTGTTGAGTTTGAGAACACTGTGACAAAAGGTACTCTTGGTTAACCATGGCTTCAGGATTGTAGCAATCTCCATCTGCCACTGCTGATATAGGCAACGATAAGGTATCGTCAACCTCTATTTTAATTTCCTCCTTTATTGCACTCTATGATAAGGGAGGAACAAGCACTCATATAATGGCATTACAAAAATGAATAACCAAGCATAGCAAAAAATTTCTTAATTTTCTTTACAGACATTTAGTTCATTATAAATTACCACTTCTAGGTAGTAGGTTGGTAGACAGCAACCGCCCAGGGAGGTACTACCGTCCTGCCAAGTGAATGTAAAACAAAAGCCTGTAATTGTTTTACATGATGGTAGGATTGCTGGTGTTTTTTGTCTGTCTCATAAATATGCAAGATTACAGGTATGTCTTGCTACTTCTACTTACACTTAGGTCACACTACACATACATGTACACGTTTATTTATACACACTCACCTGAGTTTTCTTTGATTTTATCTTAATAGTTCTTGGTCTTACTACTTTTCTTTTTATATCCATGGGGAAGTGGAATAAGAATCTTTCCTCCGTAAGCCATGCGTGTTGTAAAAGTCAACTAAAATGCCGGGAACAATGGGTTTAGTAACCCCTTTTCCTGTAAAGATACTAAAAAGAATAAGAAGAAAATTGTCAAAGTGGGAAGTCTGAATGTGCATGGATGTTGTGCAAATGATAAGAAAAAGATGATTGTGGATTGTTATGAATGAGAAGAAGCTGGATGTCCTGGTTTTAAAGTGAAACAAAGCTGAAGGGGGTGGAGAGTTTCTGAGGAGAGGAATAAATGGGATTAGGTCAGGGGTTCAACTAGAGTTAGAGCTAAAGAAGGAGTAGCAATAATGTTGAAGGATAAGATATGGCAGGAAAAGAGGGACTATAAATGTATTAATTCAAGGATTATGTGGAGTAAAATAAAGGTTGGATGTGAAAAGTGGGTTTAGTAAGTGTATATGCACCGGGGAAAGAGAGAAGTGTAGAGGAGAGAGAGATTTTGGGAAATGTTGAGTGAATGCGGGGGGAGTTTTAAAACCAAGGGGTTAGAGTACTTGTGGTTGGGGATTTCAATGCAAAGTGGGTAAAAATGTTGTGGAGGGAGTAGTAGGTAAATTTGGGGTGCCAGGGGTAAATGTAAATGGGGAAGCCTTTAATTGAGCTATGTGTAGAAAGAGATTTGGAAATTTAAGTAATACATATTTTATGAAAAAGGGGAAAATAAATATACAAGGTATGATGTAGCACATAAGAAAGTAGTTTGTTAGATTATTGTATTGGTGGATAAAAGGTTTAAATGGGTAGGCTCCAGGATGTACATGTTTATAGAGGGGCAACTGATATATTGGATCATTATTTAGTTATAGCTACAAGTTAGAGAAAGAGGTAGATGGGACAAGAGGAAGGTGGCAACAACAAGTAGGAGGGAATGAAAGTGTATAAACTAAGGGAGGAGGAAGTTCGGATGAGATATAAGCGACATTGGCAAAAAAGGTGGGCTAGTGCAAAGATGAGTAGTGGGGGGGTTGAAGAGGGTTGGATGAGTTTTAAAAATGCAGTATTAGAATGTGAGGCAGAAGTTTGTGGTTATAGGAGGGTGGGGGCAGGAGGAAAGAGGAGTGATTGGGGGAATAAATGAAGTAAAGGTGTGATTTAAAAGAGAAAAAGTTAGCTTATGAGAGGTTTTTACAAAGCAGAAGTGTTATAAAAAGAGCAGAGTATATGGAGAGTAAAAAAAAGGTGAAGAGAGTGGTGAGAGAGTGCAAAAGGAGAGCAGATGATAGAATGGGAGAGGCACTGTCAAGAAATTTAATGAAAATAAAAAAATTTTGGAGTGAGTTAAACAAGTTAAGAAAGCCTAGGGAAAGTATGGATTTGTCAGTTAAAAACAAAAGTAGGGAGTTAAATGGATGGGGAGAGGGAGGTATTAGTAGATGGCGAGAATATTTTGAGGAACTTTTAAATGTTGAGGAAGAAAGGGAGGTGGTAATTTCATGCACTGGGCCCGGGAGGTATACCATCTTTTAGAAGTGAAGAAGAGCAGAATGTAAGTGTGGGGGAGGTAACGTGAGGCATTAGTAAATGAAAAGGGGTAAAGCAGCTGGACTGATGGGATCATGACAGAAATGTTAAAAAGCAGGGGGGATATAGTGTTGGAGTGGTTGGTACTTTTGTTAATAAATGTATGAAAGAGGGGAAGGTACCTAGGGATTGGCGGAGAGCAGTATAGTCCCTTTATATAAAGGGAAGGGGGACAAAAAAGATTGTAAAAATTATAGAGGAATAAGTTTATTGAGTATACCAGGAAAAGTGTACGGTAGGGTTATTACTGAAAGAATTAGAGGTAAGACGAATGTAGGATTGCAGATGGCAAGGAGGTTTCAGAGTGGGTAGGGGTTGTAGATCAAGTGTTTACATTTAAGCATATATGTGAACAGTATTTAGATAAAGGTAGGGAAGTTTTTATTGCATTTATGGATTTAGAAAAGGAATATGATAAGAGTGGATAGGGGAGCAATGTGGCAGATGTTGCAAGTACAGTGGTCCCTCGTTTTTCGTAGTTCTCGGGAATCATAGATTTCAGAAATCATAGGGATATTTTCGTATAAACATGGGCTCGCTAATCATAGGTTGACTCGTGAATAGTAGTTCATCCAGGACGCGTACGCACGGTTTGAGCCGGGGCGGCCTCCCTACCCAGCCAGTCTGGCATTGTTTACCAGTGAGCAAAGGTCCCCTCACGTGCTCCTACGAAATATTTCATAATATTCCACTCATTTTAGTGCTTGCAAGTACTAAATAAACTACCATGGCTCCAAAGAAAGCTCCTAGTGCCAAGCCTGTGGTAAAGAAGGTGAGAAATACGATTGAATTTAAGAAAAAACATCATTGAACAATATAAAGTGGCACAAGTGGAAAGATTTATGGGGAAAATCACCCTGACCAAAGGTTGTTGCAAGCCATGTTTGGGAACATGTACAGTGACAAAGTCTTGGGCCATTTTAGGGAAGTGCTAAAGAGACACCAGAAACAGAGCTCTCTCCACAGTTATTTTGCGAGACAGGACTCCAGTGACTCTCAAGCTGGTCCTAGTGGCATTAAGAAACAGAGAAGAGAAGCAATTCCAGAAAAGCAATTGGTACCTGAGGTGTTGCTGGAAGGGGATTCCCCTTCCAAACTGTAAACAATCCAATCTCTCTCCTCCTCCAGTCTCCCATACACTAAGAAGAACCTCCAATAAAGGTAAGTGTTATGCTGTTAATGTTTCATTCATCATTTCCCATTGTATTGTTTATGTACTACATCTATATGTCATGTAAAAATTTTTTTTGTTTTAATACTTCTGGGTGTCAGGAACGGATTAATTGTATTTACATTATTTCTTATGGGGAAAATTGATTCGAAAATCGTAGATTTCGATAATAGTAGCAACTCCAGGAACGGATTAACTACGAAAAACGAGGGGCCACTGTATATGGAATAGGTGGTAAGTTACTAAATGCTGTAAAGAGTTTTTATGAGGATAGTGAGGCTCAGGTTAGGGTGTGTAGAAGAGAGGGAGACTACTTCCCGGTAAAAGTAGGTCTTAGACAGGGATGTGTAATGTCACCATGGTTGTTTAATATATTTATAGATAGGGTTGTAAAAGAAGTAAATGCTAGGGTGTTCGGGAGAGGGGTGGGATTAAATTTTGGGGAATCAAATTCAAAATGGGAATTGACACAGTTACTTTTTGCTGATGATACTGTGCTTATGGGGGATTCTAAAGAAAAATTGCAAAGGGTTTGTGGATGAGTTTGGGAGTGTGTGTAAAGGTACAAAGTTGAAAGTGAACATTAGAAAAGAGTAAGGTGATGAGGGTAAACAAATGATGTAGATAAAGAAAAATTGGATATCAAATTGGGAGGAAAGGAGTATGGAAGAAGTGAATGTTTTCAGATACTTGGAGTTGACGTGTCGGCGGATGGATTTATGAAGGATGAGGTTAATCATAGAATTGATGAAGGAAAAAAGGTGAGTGGTGCATTGAGGTATATGTGGAGTCAAAAAAACTTTATCTATGGAGGCAAAGAAGGGAATGTATGAAAGTATAGTAGTACCAACACTCTTATATGGGTGTGAAGCTTGGGTTGTGAATGCAGCAGCGAGGAGGCGGTTGGAGGCAGTGATGTCCTGTCTAAGGGCATTGTGTGGTGTAAATATTATGCAGAAAATTCGGAGTGTGGCTAAAGCTCCCGCTTCACACACGGAGGGCCCGGGTTCGATTCCCGGCGGGTGGAAACATTTCGACACGTTTCCTTACACCTGTTGTCCTGTTCACCTAGCAGCAAATAGGTACCTGGGTGTTAGTCGACTGGTGTGGGTCGCATCCTGGGGGACAAGATTAAGGACCCCAATGGAAATAAGTTAGACAGTCCTCGATGACGCACTGACTTTCTTGGGTTATCCTGGGTGGCTAACCCTCCGGGGTTAAAAATCCGAACGAAATCTTATCTTATCTTATCTTATCTTAGTCAGAGGGCTGAAGAGGGGTTGTTGATGTGGTTTGGTCATTTAGAGAGAATGGATCAAAGTAGAATGACATAAAGAGCATTTAAATCTGTAGGAGAAGGAAGGCGGGGTAGGGGGCGTCCTCGAAAAGGTTGGAAGGAAGGGGTAAGGGAGGTTTTGTGGGCGAGGGGCTTGGACTTCCAGCAGGCGTGCATGAGCGTGTTAGATAGGAGTGAATGGAGACGAATGGTACTTGGGACCTGACAATCTGTTGGAGTGTGAGCAGGGTAATATTTAGTGAAGGGATTCAGGGAAACCGGTTATTTTCATATAGTTGGACTTGAGTCCTGGAAAAAGGGAAGTACAAAGCCTGCACCCTAAAGGAGGGGTTTTGGGATATTAGCAGTTTGGAGGGATATGTTGTGTATCTTTATACGTATATGCTTCTAAACTGTTGTGTTCTGAGCACCTCTGCAAAAACAGTGATTATGTGTGAGTGAGGTGAAAGTGTTGAATGATGATGAAAGTATTTTCTTTTTGGGGATTTTCTTTCTTTTTTAGGTCACCCTGCCTCGGTGGGAGATGGCCGACTTGTTGAAGAAAAAAAAAAAAAAAATCAGTCGCTTTGTGGTCTGAACTGGCAGCCTCACCATGCCTAATCACACTATGTATGCCACTACGATTCTTAAATCTTTCAAACCAACCTTTGCTGGCCTTAAATTCACTCACATCACCACTAGTTGCAGGCAATTTTTTTACCAAATTGTCATGCAACTGCCTAGCCTTTTCACAAATGATCGCTTGAGAGATGCTATCTTCTGCTATCTGTTTTTCATTTATCCACACCAATAACAGTCTCTCAACATCTTCTTACACTTGCGGTTGCTGTTTTGTAATCACAGTTGCACCTTTTGCAACAACAGCTTCCTTGATTGCCGTTTTCCTGCACACTATAATAGAGATGGTTGATTGGGGTTTACTATACAACCTGACCAGCTCCGACACACGCACTCCACTTTCGTACTTTGCAATTATCTCTTTCTTTATTTCAACAGTCATTAGCACCCTTGGTTTCGAAGGGTTGGCACTAGCTTTCTTGGGGCCCATGGTGACTTATTTTGCAGAAACAAGCACCAAAAACAGTGATAATATGGATAATATGGAATGTACCGAATGTATCCTTAGATGCGCGCACACTGGCTGGCTTGTAAACACTGGCACACACACGGGGCAGTTCAGGCCACACGTGGACATGTCTCGTATGCATCGTATTGCATACCGGGTTTTGTATCGGGAAGCGAGGAAAATTTTTTTCTATCAAATGCATCGGCTACCGGATTTATCAGATACCGAAAGCATTGGGAACCGGGGGTCCACTGTAATGTCAACCCATTCGTGACTGTATATTAGAATGGCTAGTTGGACATTTATTGGACAATGACATCATTTGTTTACTTTTGAACATCGGCAAAAATCAAACATTTCCCCTACTTTGAGCTCCATTTCAAGGTTCTTTTCATAGTAAAACCAATCAATATCACCTCTATTTCTATAATATGTTTTTCATTCTATCAAATGAGACCAAGAAAACAAGAATACAACCATAAATAATATACGAAAATACACCACAAAGCTGGCGTTTTAATCCAAAAAAACAGTCGTAGTTTTTTTCTCATGCACTGCGTGCTGCAGGATTTTTTATATGGTGCACACTGACCACACAGACCCATTATCTCACATGTGGGCCTACCAGCTTTCTTCTGCTTGATTTGAGGCCGCTAGAATTTTTGAGTACATGTATATATACATCAAACACGGTGGCTCATAAGACATACATGTATATATACGACCGAAACAGTCAAAGGGTTAAATGTTACAGCAAGGAGGAAGCTGGAGGCAGTCAAGATGTCATGTCTGAGGGCAATGTGTGGAGTGAATATTATGCAAAGAATTCATAGTTTGGAAATTAGGAGTAAGTATAGGGTTGCTAAGAACATTATTCAGAGGGATGAGGAAGGATGGAAGTGGTTTGGACATTTAGAGAGGATGGAGAAAAATAGAGTGACCTAGAGGTTGCATAATCTCTAGTGGAGGGAGGAGGGGTAGGGATCATCCTAGGAAAAGCTGGAGGGAGTGAGGGAGGGTAAAAAAAGGTTTTGTATGCAAAGGGCTTGGAAATCCAACAGACAAAAGTGTGAGAGCATGCTAGATAGGAGTGGAGGAAGTGTTTTTTTGTGACTAGACTAGTCACGTGCTGTTAGAACATGAGCAAGGTAACATTTATGAAAGGATTCAGGAAAACCAGTTAGCCTGCACTCTGAGGGAAGGGTGAAGATGGTGCTGTTTGAACAGTCATGTGAGCTTGATATATCAGTGTGATTCTGACGGACATTGACTGAACGAGTGACAGTGAAATTTTCTTTGTCGAGTGACCCTAACTCATTGGAAGACAGCAGGAGTGTTAACAAAAAAAAACTGAAATGGTTACAACAAATATTCATCACTTGCCTGCTGAGTCTGAGAGCACTGTGACAAAAGGTATTCTTGGTTAACCATGGCTTCAGGATTGTAGCACTCTCCATCTACCACTGCTATAGGCAACGATAAGGGATCGTCAACCTCTACTTTAACTTCCTTCTTTATTGCACTCTATAAGGGAGGAACAAGCACTCATTTAATGCCATTACAAAAATGAAAAACCAAGCATAGCAAAAGATTTTTTAATTTTCTCTACAAACATTTAGTTTATTATAAATTACCACTTGGAGAAAATTAATTAAACAATTTCTAAGCTGTACATTTTCACTTGTACAACTATGCTAGACAAGAGTTAAATTTAAACTAAATTTCTGGTCTTAACTCACTCATGGTAAATGCCAAAAGCTTATTAAATTGGAACACTTTCAGTTACAAGTACTTTTTTTTATTTTCTTTCTCTGCTGTCTGCAGATATTCTATAGCATTCTGCTATTCCTTATGTAATTTGAAAGATTTTTTGACCTTGGTTGCTTGTTTATGACTGCTTTTTTTGTGGCTCACTAGAATATAAGGTTATAATTTAGTGACTACATTGTGGAAAGCATTATGTACATATTGCTGAATATGAAAATAGATAAAGTGAGAATGTTAAGTCATCTCTCACCTTAAGTAAGTAAATACCTAATGCTTTCAAGGACAGGTTACTAAATGACTTTTTCCTGACATTTTCTTGTGTCACAGACTGCTGTAGGGTAAACTTGAATATTCAAACAAGTGATAGTTTTAGAGATTTAAAATTTTTCTTGTAAATTAAGTAATTTTTAAGGCACTACCACAACCATTTATACATTTAGGAATATGTAAAACAAATGACTCTTACATCCCAATTTCCAATACTCATTATACTGTATGTCAAATACTAATGGAAAAAATGCACATATGTCTTCACCTCAAAGGAAAAAAACTCATTTCATACATTATCATTCATCTTTAGTTATTTTTATTTTTAAGTGCAAAAATTGCTTCAAATAAAATTTACAAAAGGGAGAAAGAGAATAACTTTTTCACAATTTCCTAATTTTCCAGCAGGTAAAGGCAGAGCAGTAGTGTATAAGACCATTCCAAACACATTAATTCATAGTATTTTTATTTCACTTTCACCACTTCAGGTCTGTCTCCTGCTCATTGCCTTTAAGATTTTACTTGCATTTTACTTGCCAAGTTAATCTAACTCTCCTACACTTATTTCTCAATAAAACCTGGAGATTGATTACAGTACATTACTGTACTTTATTAATGTGACAGCCAAACCTTCATGTGGAATTCTTTTAGCATATATTTTAACTGCTCCCCATCCAAATCTACCACTTCATGGTGACAAAATGTCTTCAGAAGTTTCTACACACGGCCAATCATATTACAAATCTGTCTGACACTTTACAATTCTACTATATGTACTTGAATCATTGGTAATACTACCTACTTGTTTACTCCTTGTGGATTTTGTGACAGCCCCAGTTTCTTGGTGGCGGCGGACTAGTACATCAACCTCAGACTCGTTCAACACAATTTTCACCATGGCTTCACGGGCTGAAACTCTACGAAAATATAAGATGAATGAAGAGTATCTGATTCTCAGGTTTTAGTCACATTTAAATTACTGTTCAATTACAGGTGATATAAAATATTCTAACTGGTTAGAGACCAGGCCGTTTTTGGTAGATGGAGGAACCTCTACTACATCTGGCACTGAATGACCCCACACAGGTTTAGCGCATAAAAAAATGCTGTACAATCTTCAATTAGTCAAACACTTAAGGAAATTAAAATCATTCTATGATCCTTAATCTAAGCTATTTTCCCAAATTTGATCAGCCTAAGGCTACTAAATCCATGGAAAATCTATATGGGAATGTCAAGTACTGTAACTCACAAAAAATATAATTTTAAAACAACTCAATGCAGTCTTAACTATGTACTGTATTTCAAAAAACTATTTATTCAAAATTATATTTATATTGAAAGGACTTTCCAGTCCTACTTATTTTTTTAAAATTTAGCATTAATGTGAAAATAAGAGCAAGCATAGAAAAGCTCTACTTGCATGTCAAATTAAAGTCTTCCTTGCTCATGACTGTAGCATCCTCAATTCTTAAAATGAAGGACTGAGGATTGTTTCCTAGCATGGGTGAAAAGTTGAGTACCATAAGTTTCCATCCACATACTGCCCTGTTCATCTGGCAGTAAATAGGTACCAAGTGTTAGAAATATTTTGTGGGTCCCATCCTGAGAAAGAAGATTAAAGAACCCCCAATGGAAATAAGATACAGTCTCCAATGATGCACTAATTTCATTGGATTGCCCTGGGTTACTAACCCTCAGGGTTAATAATTCAAACAAAATCTTCTAACTGTGCACTTGGGTTACCCACAACTCACACAGTCAACACCCCTATCAACCATGTTGCTGGCTTGAGCAACTTAGTTTACACTTACCTAGGTTTACCAGTAATTTCCCTCTGCAATTTTACACCTATTCCTTAGACTTATGGTGATTTGTGTTCTCACTCTGCATGTGAGCCACTACTCGCCTAGTAGTAAACAGTTACCTAAGAAATAGCCTACTTGTGGGTTGCATTCTGGGAAGGGACCTAAGGGCCTCATTGAAAATAACCCACACTGCTTGGCCTTTTTTTTTTTTTATCTTAGGTTATCAGTATTAGTTGAAAATAAATGGTACAAAATACCGACACAATGGAAACAAAACACACATGCAGTTTAATGTGTGGGTGAAACGTTGTCAATAAAGGATCACATTAAACTGCATATGTGTTTATGTTTCCATCAGTATTAGTGATGGTGCCAAGAACATTTCAAGTTTTACCTACCAGTATTGTTTATTTTCTACCTACAGTAACTGAAGTGTCTAATGTAACAAGTATCCAATAAAATGCTAGTCACCACACATCCTTTAATATAAAATATGTGCTAGTAGAATATATATATGGTATGTGTGTAACTCACTTGAATGCAATAGTAATAATCTAAACATTTAACATGTTAAATACATAATAGTAGGCTGTGTACATATCTTTTCTTTAGAATGAAAACAATGCTCTGAAATCTCTATAACTGTATCAAAACTTTAAGCTTGTTTGGTAGCATACAGTGTAACAGTACAATATTTGGTTACCTTATTACAACAATCTGGTTGTCTTCACCAACAACCAACTGTTCAGACTCTATTAAGGTTTTGATCTGTGATGTAATCTCTTCCTCAGTCAGTACCGTTCCCTCCTTGGCTATGAGAGACAATTCTGTCATTGGCGAGTTATGTTCTATGGTTGCGATTGTACATTCCAGGCCTCTAGTGCTTGAGCCTGCAGGTCTTATAAATTCAGTCATGGGAGCTGGAGTCACATTATTCTCTCCAGCATTTAAGACATGAGTCTGTCTACCTTTACAGTCTTTCTTTCTTAAAGATGAAGCACTACTGGTTGTGTTTTGTATTAAATCATTTTCAGAAACAGGTGTAATTAGAGAGTTTGAAACATTTTCACTTTCAGAGTCACTTGATATGAATAAACATGAGTCCTGTTTTGTATTAACATTCACTGTACCATTTGACTTCAACCTACTCTGCACTAAGGGATACATTAATGTACTAGTTCTTACCATCTGATTATGTTGGTCACTACCAAGGTTTTGTACTGTTCTGTTAAGTATTACATTTTCTACAATACTGTTTGTACTGGAAGAAGTATTACATGCCTTATCAAGAAGCAAGTTTCCTACATTAACACTAGATTCTATTTTGTCTTCGTTTAGCAATGTTGAACCAGTATTATGAATTCCATTTTTTCGAACGCTATCAACATGTCTATGAACCACAGTTGTTGTGTATGTTTTTCCTTGACTATACCTTGGCTTTTTGGCATTTGGAGGTAATTCTGTTGCTTGTAAAGGTGGTTTTACCAACTTCAATGTACTAATGACATTCTTTAACACTTCATCTAAACTGTTTACAACATCCCTAGCAGGCTGGATGCATGTAAATGAATCTTCATCCCCACGTAATAAAATATAGTAACTTTTGTGGTCTGGACCTATAACAGGACGCAACTGTGAGAGGGTGTTTTCTACACTCTCCACTGGGGCACTGTTGGAAGCAAGGCTGTGATTAGATATGATCCCTGAACCTGATGGTAGGTCATTTTGTCCATTTAATGGAGGCCCAGCCCTTCCATGCTTTCGTTTCCTTGATAATATAGATATCCTGTCTCTCCAGTTCATTTCTGAAACCTGACAAAAAACAAAATGATAAAACTTTAGTACACCAGTATTAAAATAAATTGCTGATGTATCAATAAACACCATACTTACTAATAAATCTGTGGGACATAACAATATTTTCAAAGTTAATTCACTATTCAAAAGTGACATTTGTTTCATACAATATAAATATTCGTATTACTCTGCCAGGATACTAAGTAGCTAACAAAATTTTAATTACAGTGGATGATCATAATTCATGTGGCTTATATTCCTGAAAAATTAAAAACTGTGCTACTAATCATTTCAATGACTTAATGGACTGAAAAATATATGGGAAAAGTACAGTTGCATTCTTCATACTCTAAGAGAGCTGCAACAAATTTTTTTGATATAAAAATAATAGCTTTTCTTACGTAACACTGTTGATGATGGTGGTCTGTGAAATGTCTTAATTCTAAAGAACTTACTTTAACTAAAAAAGTTACATTAATACTATACATTTTTAAATACAGGTCTCCCTCAACATTCGCGAGGGTTAGGGGATCAAGAGCCTCGCGAATGTTGAAAAACCGTGAATGTTTGGTGCCCCAATATATTGTAGGGAAATATATTACAATACTGCTTCCTTAACTTCTTGAACCATGAATAATCATAAAATACATGAAAACATCGTAAATTGTACTAAATATATACATGTTATGCTTTAATAAAGTATGTTATTTATAACATGTATGTTAATAAATACCACAGACTCCACCACTGCGAGTCCCTACTACCCTCCCCTCCCCCCCGCAACTGGCAGCCACCCTCCCACCACTCAGTGTGGTGAAGTTTTGTTTGTTCATTATTTGCTATTAAACTACAGAATAAATAATGTAAACCCATTCATGACTGCATATTGGAATGGCTATTAGGAAAGGTATTAGATGGTGACATCATGTGTTTACTCTTGAACACAGCAAAGAATCGAACATTTCTGCTATTGCTAATAATAACAATAGTAATAATAATAATAATAATAATAATAATAATAATAATAATATATAAAAATTGAAAGAAGAAGGAAATTGTACAAAAATACAAGGGAGTGGTTGACACATCGTCAGTGTGACTTTGTTTATGCTGGAGTGAACATTAGTCTCCCTGCTCTTCCAAACATTTCACAATAATTCAGCGGTTGAGGCAGTGGTATTTAATAACATATATGTATAAATAATAATAGTACATATATTAATACATGTATTATTATTAACATGTATGTATTAATAACATATGCTATAAATAATAATAGTACAATATTAATACATGTTATTTAACATGTATGTTATTAAATACCATTGTCCTCAATCACTGCCTCTACCACTCCAGTCACACTCAATCTACAAGCACCAAACACAATGAATTATCGTGAAATGTTTGGAAGAGCAGGGAGACTAATGTTCACTACAACATGAACAAAGTCACACTGACGATGTGTCAACCACTCCCTCGTATTTTTGTACAATTTCCTTCTTCAATTATATCATAATTATTATTATTATTATTATTACTATTGTTATTATTAGCTGTAGCAGAAATGTTTAATTCTTTGCAGTGCTCAAGAGTAAACACATGATGTCACCAGTCTAATACCTGTCCGAATAGCCATTCCAATATGCAGTCATGAATGGGTTTACATTATTTATTCTGTAGTTTAATAGCAAATAATGAACAAACAAAACACTCACCGCACTGAGTGGTGGGAGGGCTGGCTGCCAGTTGCGGGGGTCGGAGGGAGGGTAGTAGGGACTCACAGGTGGCGGGAAACTTAAATATGATTTGGCGGCTGGGAATTTGGTGGCTGGGAATTTGGCGGTTGGGAATTCGCGAATGTGTGAAGCCCGTGAAAGTTGAAAACGTGAATGTTGAGGGAGACCTGTACTTACCTTCGAGCTGAGGATGCTTAATATGCTGGAGCGGAGAGGGTGGCTATGGACCTATTCCTCATTCTTTTCACTGTGTCACACTAAGGACCACTCATTTCACAAGCCCTTATCTTTGCCTCATTGTCTCATTAACAATTGAAAATTCTCTAACACCAAACACACGTCATCTCCATGACACGTATGCCACCATTTAGCATCTCGACTACCTCCAGTTTTTTCATGATTATTATGGTTTCATGCTTAATCTTCTTCCTTGCTTCACCAGTGTCATCCACCCTTCATTTGGAAGCCATGATAAATATTCAGGGGGAAGATGGGAGCGACGAAAAGAAAGAAACTGAACAATGTTCACCGAGCTTAAATTGCATGGTACGCATCTAGATTCGCTGGGCTACATGAGAGGCTGGTTTGTTTACATCCCATTACCCTTTGCTCATAACCTTTCCTGCAGTGCTAAGACATTGGAGTTGCCTAATGCTTATTAGGAATGTCTCAGGCCTGCCTACCACAACACACCTTAATAGAAATGCATGCCACCAATGAAATAAATTTTGCTCCTGTGCTTCTTAGCAAAAATATGTACTACCAATGGAAAGGAATTCCACTCCTGCACCACTGAGCCACAGAGGTTACAAAAGGATGATGTTACATGGACCACAGTTCAAGTCCCCATTCATATTGTGTATTCATTAACAGTCATTCATTAAAACTTTTTTGGTGTTTATATTACGTAGTTTCCTCACAATACATTGATACATATTTAAAAAAAAAATACAGTGGACCCTCGCCCAACGAACGCATCGCATAACATTAAATCCGCCTAGCGATACATTTTAATGCAAAAATTTTGCCTCGGCAAGCACTAAAAAACTCGCTCAACGCGATTCGTTCGAGACGCGTCCACATGCAGCCTGAGCCCGCCTCACCTGTTCTGTGGGTGCCAGTGTTAACAAGCCAGCCACCGCGGTCGCTTCCAAGCATACAATTGGAACATTTCATATCATCACAGCCTTTTTAGTGATTGCACCTGCAAAATAAGTCACCATGGGCCCCAAGAAAGCTTCTAGTGCCAACCCTACAGCAAAAGGAGTGAGAATTACTATGGATATGAAGAAAGAGATCATTGCTAAGTATGAAAGTGGAGTGCGTGTCTCCGAGCTGGCCAGGTTGTACACATAACCCCAATCAACCATCGCTACTATTGTGGCCAAGAAAACAGCAATCAAGGAAGCTGTTCTTGCCAAAGGTGCAACTTTGTTTTCAAAATGGAGATCGCAAGTGATAGATGTTGAGAGAAAGTTATTGGTGTGGATAAACGAAAAACAGATAGCAGGAGACAGCATCTCTCAAGCGATCATATGTGAAAAGACTAGGAAGTTGCATGACGATTTAATTAGAAAAATGCCTGCAACTAGTGGTAATGTGAGTGAATTTAAGGCCAGCAAAAGTTGGTTTGAGAGATTTAAGAATCATAGTGGCATACATAGTGTGATAAAGCATGGTGAGGCTGCCAGTTCGGACCACAAAGCGGCTGAAAAATATGTGCAGGAATTCAAGGAGTACATACACAGTTAAGGACTGAAACCTGAACAAGTGTTTGTGACGAAACAGGCCTGTTTTGGAAGAAAATGCCAAGCAGGACCTACATTACTGAGGAGGAAAAGGCACTCCCAGGACATAAGCCTATGAAAGACAGGCTTACTCTGTTGATGTGTGCCAATGCTAGTGGTGATTGCAAAGTGAAGCCTTTATTGGTGTATCACTCTGAAACTCCCAGTGTGTTCAGGAAAAACAATGTCCTCAAGGCTAATTTGTGTGTGCTGTGGAGGGCAAACAGTAAGGCATAGGTCACTAGGGACTTTTTCTATGACTGGTTACACCATGCATTTGTCCCCACTGTGAAAAATTACCTAATTGAAAAGAGATTCGACCTTAAGTGCCTCCTGGTATTAGACAATGCTCCTGGTCATCCTTCAGACATGGGAGAGCGACTTTCTGCAGGAAATGAGCTTCATTAAGGTCAAGTTTTTGCCTCCTAATACCACTCCTCTCCTGCAGCCAATGGACCAGCAGATCATTTCCAACTTCAAGAAACTGTACACAAAAGCTATGTTTGAAAGGTGCTTTGTAGTGACCTCAGAAACTCAATTGACTCTAAGAGAGTTTTGGAGAGATCACTTAAGCATCCTCAATTGTGTAAACATTATAGGTAAGGCTTGGGAGGAAGTGACTAAGAGGACCTTGAACTCTGCTTGGAAGAAACTGTTGCCAGAATGTGTAGACAAAAGGGATTTTGAAGGATTTGAGGCTATCCCTGAGAAGTGTATGCCAGTTGTGGAATCCATTGTGGCATTGGGGAAGTCCTTGGGGTTGGAGGTTAGTGGGGAGGATGTGGAAGAGTTGGTGGAGGAGGACAATGAAGAACTAGCCACTGATTAGCTGCTAGATCATCTTCAACAGCAACAGGGCACACCTGAGGAAACTGCTTCGGAGGAGGGGATAGAGAAATTGAAGAAGTTGCCTACTTCAAAGATTAAGGAAATGTGTGCAATGTGGCTTAAAGTGCAAACCTTTTTTGATGAAAATCACCCTCACACAGCTATTGCAAGCCCTGCTGGTGACTATTACACTGACAATGTTGTGAAACAATTTAGGAATGTCATAAAGGAACGGGAGGTACAGGCCTCTATGGACAGATATGTTGTGCAACAGAGGTCCAGTGACTCACAAGATGGTCCTAGTGGCATTAAAAGAAGAAGGGATGTAACCCCGGAAAAGGACTTGCCACCTCAAGTCCTAATGGAAGGGGATTCCCCTTCTAAACACTAACACCATCAACACTTTCCCCTCCTCCCATCCCATCAATCATCACCAGATCTTCAATAAAGGTAAGTGTGTTAGGTAAGACACATATGCAACAGTTAGGTATCTTTATTTCGAAACGTTTTGCCTACACAGTAGGCTTCTTCAGTAGAGTACAGAAAAGTTGATAGAAGCAAAAGATACTTGAAGACGATGTAATCAGTCCATCACCCTTGAAGTTTTGAGGTGGTCAGTCCCTCAGTCTGGAGAAAAGCCGTTTCATAGTCTGAAACAATATGG